ACTTCACCCTGATTCATAAGGGAAAGGGGATGGCGTATTCTCTTAGTTACTTCTTGCTGAAAAGGGACGCTGTGGGTTTCAGGGTGAAGATCTTCTCTCACTACTCTAAAGGGACCCTTTGGCAGTAGGAAACACATAGACTATTATGGAGATTGATTTTGGAATTAAGATGCACTGTTAAGGTCATCAGACTCACAGTGACTTTCAGCAATCCATTCTATAGGTAATTGTCTTCTTTGGCCTGTCCAAGGAAACCCAAAACCTGCAGATGGCAGGCATGAATCCCATCCCCCACCTCCTACGCAGGCGGTCAGCGGGGCGCACACCCCCACCCCCAGCATGGGAGGCCGGCGGGAGGTGCGCAGCCCCCCGCCCCCCACGGTGAGCGGCCACTGGGGGTGCACCACCCCACCCTGCCACACGGGCGCTCGGCGTGGGCGCGGCCCCTCTTGTGCGGGCAGGCGGTGGGCGTCCACTTCCCCCACAGCCACCATCCTGGATCCAAGAATTCTCTCCAGAACAAGTTCACTTGTGGCAGTGTGGTGGCTTCATTGTACAAGTCTTCAGGAGGGCCAGTGCCCAGCATCCATCCTGGGTGAGGAAATCCATTCCTTCTGGCTGTGGAAGCCTCATGGAGCTGAAGCGGCTGTGCAGTGTGGTGCAGGCTCTGCAGGGGGTGGGGTTTGGGAGCTACGAGTCTCACCCATTCCTCCTTGGGAATCCTTGAATTCCTGTTTTTGAGCCTCGATCTTCACTGAGGGCCAGACATCAACTGTTAAAGTGTTCAATTATCAATAAGCCTAAGTTTGTGTAAGGCCATATTGGCCCTGCTTTAAGTGGTTCGCTGCTCCCACAGCTCACCACGCTGTCTCTGCCTCCACTGCCCTGCGTATTTCTCCTACACTCTTTTTGTTCTTTCCATGTCATTCAATATTATATACTCCTTCAGTACTGCAAATTAAGGCTTGAATTTTTTTTCCCCCTTCAGTTCTACCAATTTGAGAAAAGCTGGGCATATTACAGAATTTGGGTTTCTAACTCCATATTTTAGCATATTTCAGTCTAATACTTTGTGCTGTCTTCTTGGGCTGGACATAGTAGCAATTACTTGAGAACTGATTCACTGTTGTTGCTGTTGTTATGTGCCGTCGAGTCATTTCCGACTCATAGCGACCCTATGAACAACAGTCCTAAACCCTGCTCTATCCTGC